CCGCTCCAGCTGCAGGTGCTGCCGCCGATGCCGCCGCTCCTGCTGCGAGGGCCTGCCCCCCGGCCGCCTTCCACACCGCCCCTGCGGAGAAGATACTACTGTCGGGGGCCGCCACTCCAGCTGCAGGTGCTACCGCTGCTCCCGCCGCTCCAGTCGCTGCCCCCAGCCCCCCGAAAGGTTCCGTCGCTTCCACTACTGCTCCGCCCCCCCACGTGGGTACCTCCCCAACGAAAGGCGCCCGACGATAGCCCCAAGTGACGTCCGCGGAGTAGCTGCAGACCCCTGAGGAGAGGAGGATCTTGTGCGTAGTAGACGAGTGGTTGTTGCCGGTGTTGAGATAAAAACAGCGCTCCCCCTTCGACTCGGTCTTGTTCTTCCGGTTGCGGTGACGGAAGCCGGGCATCATGAACGGCAGTGGAAGAGTTGTGGCCCGTCGCTTGTAGAGCTTCTCCCATGGGCATAGCTTGTCGGGTGTGTGAGCTTGCGCGGTCATGGTGAGCGTGTCGTTCATCCAAGCAAGCGCCTCCGGCCAGATCGTCGTCCCCGCCATCGCCTTTCGAGGAAACTCCAAGTCTGGGAAGAGCCGTGGGAACTCCAACCACGCCGCCTTGCCCCCTTCAACGACAAGCGCGATCTTCCGCTCCGCGCGCCCGTTGCGCTTCGCACCATCGACGGGGGTGAATTCCACTGCAACTCCGAGCTCAGACAGCAAGTGCCGGAATTCGGTGTTGGTAAACTCGGTCCCGTTATCAAAGCGAGCAACGCCTAACCCACCGTGAGTCCCCGCCAACTGCTTGGTGTCAACGTACCACGCGCGAAAAGCGTCACACAGAGTGGAACCGCCCTTGTCCGCCAGAAACAGCGTCCATCCGACGTTGGAGTAGTCGTCCACCACCATCATGCAGTACCGAGCGCCACCGGTGGACGGCGGATATGGGCCCGTCAGATCGATGAAGGCACGCCCAAACGGCCTCTCCGCCTTGGCTTTCGTCTCCATCGGAACGCTGCGTCGAATCGCCTTCGCCACACCGCAGCCAGCGCAGTATCCCCGGGTACCGGTCACCTGAATCCCCAGCTGCTTCGCGGTCTCCCGTGCATTCGCGTCGTTGGTGTGGCCAAGAGAAACATGCAGATCGTTGATGTTGATGCTCCTGGGCCGCCCAGGCCGCACGGTCGCCNTATTAACGAGTGACAAGCATGAGCAGCAGGCAAGAAGGACCTGCTGCTGCACACACGTCTGCATATACCCAAACCTATCATATATGCGTACCCCCTCGGATATCTCGGAGATCTGTATCCTGCCGAGTACATACACAAACATATCGTAGTACAGCATGGGCACGTGAGTTTTCGTATCAGCGTAATAACGATTAATCGCGTCTTTCCTGATGTTGCAAGTTATTCATAACCCGAGTGGTGGCGTGTTCTGTGGTGTATGCGACCGGGCAGATCGGATGCCATGGAGTGAGGGTTTTACAGCAGGACGCGTTCCTCGCGGGTGGTGGTGGTAAACGTACCAATTAGAAAGTTTGGGTTCGGCTTCGGCATGTCTAGGATCGACGTCTGACTTCTGGTCGATATGCTCTGATGGAGAATGCGGAAACGAAGTTTGGGTAGGTTCTTGTGACGGGAGAGGAGGCCTCATCCAAACAAATCCAATACTTTCAAAAAGTGATCCAAAAACGGAGACGAGAATACAACAGTATTTTTCATTTTTCGAAAAATTTCACTTTCACTTTTACGAGGACCGTTCCTGGGACTAGTCCCATTCTTTCCGGAGGCTTTACTTGTGACGATGTGATGTCACGATTTCACGTTGAAGGAATCTGACCAGCACCGCCCGCGAAGAAGGTACCATATACCCCAAAACGATGTCGGGGATATGCATCATGTGCATGAATGTGTTTGCGGCCTAAATACGCCACATATTTATATATTTATCGGGTGAGACTGTTTTGATGATGTGTTAACTTCACGAGAGGTAGACGACCGTCCTTCACGCGGACGAAATAGGGAGTGGCCCACATGGGCAGCTCCTACACCAAGGAGGGGCCCCGTGACTCATCGCGGTGCCCCCTACCAAACGGCAATCTTACCAATCTGTCTGACACCAAAATTATACAGCACATGTATCCAGCACCAATGTTCGCAGTACCACGAACACCCTCCCAGGTTCTCCACCCAAGTGACCCATCAATGGGGCAAGAACGCCCCTGGATACATCAGAAGTACCAACATGGTAACATATGGAGGGGAAACCCGGCGTCCGGGCAAAACCCCTCGAATAAAGCCCTATCACCACAAAAGAAAACGTCGCTATCACAGCGGATCACAATGGCCGCCCTTAATAGAAAGTCCAAGGCAAGTGTTAACAACTGATGCAGCTACTCCGGCAAATTCATCAACTTGCGCCGGTGGTTCTGCAGACTGACCCTGCTAAGGGCCTTGGTAAGGAGNAAAAAACCGTCGCTATCACAGCGGCTTACAACGGCCGCACTTACCAAAAAATCCAAGGCAAGTGCTAAAAACTGCTACATCTACTCCGGCAAATTCATCAGCTTGCGCCGGTGGTACTGCAGACTGACCCTGCTAAGGGCCTTGGTAAGGAGGTCCGCGTGTTGCTCCGTTGTCGGAACAAACCGTAATATCCCCCGACCTAAACAACCCGCGGATGAAATGAAACCTCACGTCGATGTGTTTCGTTCGACCTTAGCTGAGGGGCTTCTGCACTAACGCTATGGCCCCCTGGTTGTCCTCAAGGACCTGGACGCTGCTACCTCTGGTCTCTGGGGCAACAAACGAAAGCACAGCACGCACAAACAACGCCTCCTTGACACCCTCCCCGGCAGCAATGCACTCCGCTTCCGTCGAAGACAAAGACACGATGCTCTGCGTCTTGCTACCATGGCTGACTACGGTACCTCCAACCGTCGTCGCCACCCTGACACCGAACGCCTATCCTCCGTGTCGGTGTAGCTAGCGTCTACGGACACGGCCAGCCCTAACCCCGATCCCCGTTGGTAGGTGATGCCGAGGTCCCTCGTCTCCTTTAAGCAGCCGAGGATCTTCTGGATGGCATCCCAGTGCCTCTTCGCCGGGGCGTGGGCGTGGCGCGCTACCACACGTACGGCGAACGAGACGTCCGGACGCGAGGAAGTCGACACCCACATCATGCTGCCGACGGCCTCCCTCACCGGCCACTCCCCTCCCTGATCGTCATCTCGCTTCGGTCCTAGGTCGACATCAGGGTAAGCAGGGATGCGGGAGGTCGATGGTACATCGAAGCGTTTCACCATGCTGTCGATGTACGCGGTTTGCGAGATTTTAAGAGTCCCATCCTCTACATCTCTCTCGATGGCACTCCCGTCAAACCATTCGCATTCTCACACATTTTTGGTGGGGAATTCCTTGTAGAGAGAAGCAAGCAACTCCTCGCAATCCTCGTCAGACCCACCCAGCCACCAAAATGTCATCCACATTTATCACGATAATCATCACCACGACTTCGTCTACCAACTTTGCGGAAAACACACGGGTCCGCCTTGCACTGTTCAAACCCGTTCTCGACTAGCGTATCAGCAGCGTGGTACCTCCACTGCCTACCGCTCTGCTTCAGACCGTAGATCGCACGGTCAGCCTTAACAGTTTTATGCGATTTTTCCCCACACCCAGCGGCGAGCTTCAGAAAAACCTTCTCGTCTAACGTGGCCTGTGTGTACGCCTGCTTCACATCCCAGTGATTGAGGTTCATGCCCTTTTCGTTTGCTACCGCAAGCATGAGTTTGATGGATGCGGATGATGGGCAAGGGGAAGACGAATGGAAATAATCGACGTTCGGGAATTGCGAAAACCCCCTAGCCACCGGACGCGCTTTGAACTTTTCCATCTTCCCTTCCTTGTTGGTCTTCCAACTAAAACACCACTTTGAGCTCCCAGGCCTTCGCCCCCCTGGCGCGCCGTCTACGAATGAAAACGTCCCTGTGTCCAAGTGCCCTTCAAACTCTTCTCTCATGGCTGCCTGTTCCCACCCATCTCTGTACACAGACTTGGCAACGCCGGCTACGGTCATGGGGGGGGGTTCTACTTCACTCGAACGTTTGCCTATGGGGGATTCACTTAGCTCGGGGGACGCCAGAGTCGTCTCGAAGGCGTCTGGCGAGTTGAGCATGAGGTCCACCGTACCCAGCAGGAAGTCCTCCGCCTCTTGGCGCGAAACGTGGTCCTCGTCCGCGCGCTCGGACAGCAACTCTCGCACCACCCTCGCCTCTAGCCCCCCCGCCACGTGAAGCACCGCCGAGAGCATCCAGCGGGTGAACTCCTCCGTGCTGCTGACGGGCAGGTTCGCCACCGAGGCGAGCAGGGCTTCGGCACTTGTCGGCGACGGGGGCGACTCGTACCTCGGGCTTCGGCGAGGGTTCTCCCTAGTGCGGCGGCTGGTGAGTTCCGCCGGCTTGTCGAAGCGGGCGAGCCGCCGGGCCTCTGGCCCACGGAGCGCCGGGAGATCGGTCTCGCTGTCGCTGCCACTTATGCTGTCGCTGCCGCCGTCATCGCCGCTGCTGCTGTCGCTGCCGCTGCCGCAGCTGCCGCGTCTGTTGCTGTCGCCTCCGCCGCCGCCACTACCGCTGCTGCGGCGGTCGTCCTCGCCGCCGCCCACCTCGGCCATGCCGGTCGACGTAGTAGATGGGGCGCCGCTCGCGCCCTCCTGCTCGACGGGGCGCCATCGCCAGCGTCGCCCGCGCCCGACTCCCGGAGCGCGGACGGCGGCACCGCCGGCGCTACGCGCGCGGGCCACCCCGCGGGCCCCGGGGCTGCCCTCGTGCCAAGGTTGAAACCTGGTCCTCCTCAGTCGCGAATTCGTCTTCCTCGCCCCCCCCCGGTGTTGCCATCGGGGTTGGGTTTTCGTCGCTTGGCAACGACGTTGTAAAACAAGCCAATTCACTTTGTGAACTCGGCAACCAGGTTACCGATTTGTTTGGGCGGTAACCAGAATGGTCGTGGAGCAGATCATGTTGTGCGGGGTCGAGAACCCTCACACCGCGCACGGGGGATGATCGCACCACGTTGTGGTAAATTGGTCAAGCACCCTCGAGGCAGTTACAAGTGCTTGCAACTGTCTCTGGAAGTGAAGCACCAGAAAATAAATTAAGTCATAAGCAGCTGTCATCAGCATGCAAGGAAGTAAGCACAAGATGCCGAACACCCTTAGCAGGATGCAGCGCACCCTTCATGCGACTCGCCGAATATCTCACGGCGCTTCGCGCTTGGTGATGTGAGAGCCTGGTCCGGTGAGAACCCGGCGTGCTCCGTCCCGGCTTTGTAGGGATGCGAGGTCAATGGTCTAACGACTACGGCATGCACGAATATGAGTACACCCCCCTCCTCTGCGATGGGAGGCAGCGGCTGGGGCAGGGAGGTGGGTACGGCGGGTTCGGATTGCCAGGTGAAGTTGCGAGTTGTGATCGCTTGGCGTTTTTCGTTGAGGATGCGCACTTAATCACGGTTGGTGTTGATTCCCGGGCCGAGGTAAAAACGCTTTTGGGCTTCGGCTCGGACTCGTGCGTGCGCTTGACCTTGTATACGNTCCTCTGCGATGGGAGGCAGCGACTGGGGCAGGGCGGCGGGGGCGGCGGGCACGGATTGCCAGGTGAAGTTGCGAGTTGTGATCGCTTGGCGTTTTTCGTTGAGGATGCGCACTTAATCACGGTTGGTGTTGATTCCCGGGCCGAGGTAAAAACGCTTTTGGGCTTCGGCTCGGACTCGTGCGTGCGCTTGACCTTGTATACGGCAGGTTTGAGGAACGGGTTCGTCGCCCTCGGCGGGGGAGGGTGCCCGCGCCACATTTCGTACGGCGATTTCCTCTCTGGGTTGGATGTGGTGGAGGTGCAGCTCAGGGCCTTGCATGCCCAAGCTATGGCCTCGGCCTAAAGGGAGGGTTAGTTCGGTGCTAGGGGGTAAAGAGTTGGCGCTTGTATACGGGCGGCTAGTGCTGCATCCTTAATCAGACCCATTGCTCTCTCAGCTACACCGTTGTATTCTGGGCTGTGTGCGGCGGTGAACTCCTCTTTGATGCAGTACTTCCGGCACACCTTGCCGATCTCTCCCTCAAAAAACTCTCCTCCATTGTCGGATCTTACGACTATCACATCGGACGGGGCACCGTCTGCCCGGTTTTCTGCAAGGTACCTCTCGAATGCCTCAGCGGCGTCTGATTTGTGCTTCAGGAAATAGACACGGTTCCACCTTGTGTAATCATCCTTGACAATGAGAGTGTACCACTTTCCCCCCAAGCTCTGCACCCTAGCTTTTCCACTCAAATCCACGAAAACTCGCTGCAGTTTCTTAACTGCTCGGGTCGACGTTTTGTTGGGGATGGGCTTGGAAAGCCCCTTCGCCGTCGAGCACCCCAGGCACTCCCGGAGCTCGCCCACCAGCGTCGTCCCTTGCTGCTTCGCCGTGGTCCTCAGCAGCACCTCGTGGGAGTGGCCGTGGGCGCGGTAGAAATCGTTGACGTCAACGGGGGTGCTGGACGCTTTCGCGTTGCCTGGAGCAATTGCGGCACAGGCATGTTCGATGTGTGTGCGGAACCGTTTTGGACGTACAGGTTACCGCATTGGGGCAAGTACACCAACTCCCCCCCCCTTCTCTCCATCTCCAACTCGTGTTTATTGAGGGTTATGGTTTCGAACCCGTCGTCGAAGAGGGAAGTGAGAGATACTAGGTTGTAGTCTAGTCGGGGGACGTGTGCAACCCGTTTCAACAACAGGTCGGTTGTACCGTCGCGCGAGCTAAGGGTTACCGTCACGTCGCCATACCCTACGATAGGGAAGGTTTCTCCGGCGGCGACGCGCACACGTCGATCACACTCTTCGTAACGAACGAACCCATCTGTGTTCGGGAACATATGGGTGGTAGCGCCGGTATCGGCAAGATACCTACCCGNGTGAGAGATACTAGGTTGCAGTCTAGTCGGGGAACGTGTGCAACCCGTTTTAGCAACAGGTCGGTTGTACCGTCGCGAGAGCTAAGGGTGACCGTCACATCGCCGTACCCTACGATAGGGAAGGTGACTCCGGCGGCGACGCGCACACGTCGATCACACTCTTCGTAACGAACGAACCCATCTGTGTTCGGGAACATATGGGTGGTAGCGCCGGTATCGGCAAGATACCTACCCGGCCTAGCCTGCTCTACACCCCGTCGACCAACGACTTTGTGACACTCGCCTGAGATGTCACCGACCACCGGCGCTTCTTCTGCCACGTCCAGTGCTGTGGCGTCCGCAGACGCCCCCCCCCGCCGGCACTTGCACGNCGTCGCCGCCTCCGCTGCCGCCACCAGCCTTCGCGCCACCCCCTCTCCCCGTTTGGTTGCCGCCGCCGCCGCCGCCGCCGCCACCCTTGCGGCGGCCACTGTTGCCGCGGCCCGGCGCTCCTCCCCCAACACTACCGTCCCTTGCGAGGAGAGCATGCCCCGCCCCCCGCTGGCCCTTCGTGGCCTTCCTCCCCTCCGGGAGTCTCGCGTGCACCGTGCTCACGATCCTGACGATCTCGGCCCTACGCAGCGGCGTTGCTCTCTCCAACAGCAATTTCGCTTGTTGGTACGCTGGTGGGAGGGAACCAACGAAGTGGGCGAGAACGAAGGGTTATTCATTATTGAGCCCCTTTTCGTCCAGGCGGCCATACAGCAGCTTGAGTGAGAGNTGACGATCTCGGCCCTATCCAGCGCCGTTGCTGTCTCCAACAGGAACTTCGCTTGTTGGTACTCGGGTGGGAGGGAACCAACGAAGTGGGCGAGAACGAAGGGTTGTTCAGCATTGAGCCCCTTTTCGCGCAGGCGGGCATACAGCAGCTCGAGAGAGTAGAGGTGCTCGATGGGGTTGCTGTTGCTGTGTGTGGGGATTGCAAAGTCGAACATCTTCCGCATCAAGGCCTGTTTTGACCCCTGTGACTCCAGATCGTAGACCTTTTCCAATTCCGCGAGGACCTCTTTCGCTGACGTACAGTTGCTGATGATTGCTTTGTTAGCTTCTCTTACCACAGCAGTAGTGATAAAGTAGAACGCCTGAAGCCCTCGTTGGACTTCTGCTCTCGTGTGCCCCCTACCGAGGAGTTCGGAAGTCGGCAAGTTTGGGTCGCCCACGGGAATACTGCTTTCTGCATCTCCTATAAACTGCCCGTCCAAGTCCATGGTCTTCGCAGTTTGGATGGACCATTTTCGCCACGAGTCAAATCCGTGGCTACGGCTTTTTCCGTCTAAAAGCGGGGCATTGACCGTCACTCTTTTCTGGTGGCTAATGCTGTAACCGTCGAGGTATTCTCCATTTCATCGAATCACGGGTATCTCACCTGGGGGGCTTAACCCCCTCGCTTCCCCGTAGTCCGGTCCTATGCCCGGGCCAACTCCGGCTAGCCTCGCGGGATTCGCTCCCGATCTGCTGGTCAAGCCGCCTTCCAGCAGCTGCCGTGGTTCTTGCCCACCATCTCTCGCTTGCTGCTGGAGAAATCCCAGCCACCCAGCCGCCCAGCCGCCACTACTGGCTGCATCCGCCACGACGCTGACAGGCTCCTTCTTCTTCACCGACTCCTCCACCAGGGCCGCCAATTGCGAAATCTGCCGTTGCAAACTTGAAGCTCTGCATCGCGGCCCTCCTTCACCGGCAAGCGGATCTGTTCTCCGCTCGCAGCAGCGGGCAGCTCATCTCCGGCAGAGCTCATCCCGATGTGGCTTCCCTCGAGGGGCAAACTCTAGAGTGCTTGCGGCCTACGCCACATATTTATCGGGTGAGACTGTTTTGGTGATGTTTTAACTTCACGAGAGGTAGACGACCATCCTTCACGCGGACGAAAGAGGGAGTGCCCCACATGGGCAGCTCCTACACCAAGGAGGGGCCCCGTGACTCATCGTGGTGCCCCCTACCAAATAGCAATCTTACCAATCTGCGTGACACCAAGACCATACCGCACAAGTATCCAACACCAAAGTTCGCAGACCCACAAACAGAATGAGTATCATCAGCTGTATCTTCTGTAGCATCATGTCACGCATTCCCTCTGTGTTAGATTGCAGTAACACAGCAAGGTTGATCGTCTATCTACGTGTACGTAGTACGTGTGTGCACACACACAGGGTCTTCTTGTACATCCGGCTGGATGGTTGACACTTAATGGTTAGCACATTAATATTCGAACAACTTCCAGAAAAACATAGGTAGCATATGTCATGGCGAATTCTAGAACACGATGTCATCATTTGTCAGTAGCGTGGCAAATTCGAGAACATGACGTCAGCTTTTACCAGTAGGGTATCTGCGCTTAGGGTATCTTGGGTTACCAGGACCGTATTCTGAACGCGTGTGATTGGTTCGCGTTGCTGGGTTGGTGTACTTCCATGATTTCGAGGATGAGCGCGGACTCGCCCACCCTCTCATCTCACTCCACATCAGCACCGTCACAACCTGACCCCGGGAGTCAGTCAGTAATCAACATTCTTCTTTGTTTCTTCGTTACAACACATCAAGTTGCAACTGCACTCGAAGTGTAACCTCAGTGGTAGGCTGCTGTACCAAGCACAGCCTACGAAGCGAACGCAGCATTCAGCACACACCCACTGCTGCTGAGACGCTGTTGCTCGCCGAGAAACGATTCTTGCATTTGGGTAAAACCTTCGACGCTGCGTCGTCCACAGGTCTGAGGTGTCTTGCCAACAACCGAGATGGGTCTGAGTTGAGCGTTGTGAGCGTCTCGTGAGAGAAGACGCGACTTTTTTGAGTTGGAGTTTCATATGCAGGCACCCAGACAGGGCTTGCCCGCAGGATCCGATAGCAGCATGCAGAAGAACAACCAAACAACATCGCGAAGAATGACTGAAATATCTACGCCACGAGTAGTGCCGCAAAGGTTCGCTTGACCCTTTTTAATGCCTTGGTGAGTGGCGATGAAAGTAGACTAATGGTAATACGCCGCAACCCATGTACGGTTCTCTGACTGCCTAGATTTTCAATTGAAGAATGTATGGCTTGACGCCGAGTCACAACATCTTTCCCATCGTTCGTATGGCGGTTAGACAAAGTTACAACACATATGATCAGAACACCTTTTTTTCGGTTCCGTTGGTTCCGTGTGAAGACATTTGGTGGAAAAAATTGTACGTGCCCGCTGAGCAAGCTGCTTGCGTACAGCACACCGGCTGAGAGTAAACGTGTGTTAAAGTGGGGTGTCGAAGCCAGTTGAACAACATATTCGCCTGATTGAGAGCGTAGCATCTGATTGAGAGCGAGATTGCGCGATACGCTGTAGCCGGACTACCACTGAGAGGTGGAGCTTCCTGTGTAGCTTGAATTGAAGGGCTAGCCCGTAGCTTCAAGCCGCTACCCTGGTCATCCTGTGGGAGTCTCTCGTTGTGGAGCTACAGCGGGGAGCAGAAGCTACAGCAGAGCCCACCGCCCGACGCGATACCGCCCTGAAACAGTTTGAGCAGAAATAGCCAATCTGGGCAAATCTAGCAACTTGTCTAGCTCCTCGCTGCAGCATCCGATGACGATGACACGCATATGCTCGCGAAGCTGCTGATGAGACCTTCAATTTGCACCGCTTCTTGGAATAGCCCGTCCCCTACTTGCCAAGAAATGGCAAGAGGCGTCTGGACCCGAAATTTCAATTTTTTTGGCTCTCGCTCTCAATCAGATACTTCGCTCTCAATCAGGCGAATATGTTGTTGTTGATGAATGCAATAAGTGGCCGTTGTAGGCATTTTGCGTTAGAACGGAAAGGCAGGGCACGGCGTATTGCGTCATGACCGAGGTCGGTGACGTACTACTGTTGACACGCAGCTGGGGAAGACAAAGTTCTCTCCTCTACAGCAGCAGCACAGCGCTGCAAACGATATTTGTACATTGCACGGCTTGACGGCCATCCGTACCCGTGGTATGGCCAGGATAACGGATTCCTGGAATTGTGTGTGGTGACCTCCTGGAGAGCCCATATATATCAGACTGTCGAGGTGTTTGGTTGCTGTTGACATTGCGGAGACACGGAAGAAGTTCTCTGTACTGCCAATCCTGTGCTTCGGTGCTGGTGTGCACACGCGGCTGTCACGCATGATTTCACGGATTGACCAAACCCCAAACCTGCAAAATCGCCAACGCGCAACCGAACATCCGAACCCTAATAACACATGTGAGACGTGCTTGAACTAAAGTCCACACTGATCTTCCGTGTGCATACGCCACAGTAAATAGATGCGTGCGGTACAGGGGTAATAACCGGTGTTTGCCGCTCTGTGTGCGTGCGGTGCTCAAGTTCCGCTTGTAATCTTCTAGTTTCGCAATGCGCTAACGGTACGCAGCCGCGTCGATGCAGAAAGGGGTCTTGTCCATGTAGAAGATGGCGATCCAAAAGCAGTTGGGGCAAGAGGTCAGCTGGGACCCTCTCACGCGGTCAGGCAACCAATTTTCCGTTTTCTGTACAGTTGTGGGTGCCCTACATTCCTTGTCAATTTCATGGAACTCCACGGAGTATTCCATGAAATGCCATGATCCTTTGTGGAGGTCCATGGAGTCCCAAGGAACATTCCGTGGAGGTCGATGGAGTTCCAAGGACCATTCCGTGGCAGTCCATGAACCTCCACGGAACTCCACGTCCATGGTGTTCCATGAAAAGACGTGGAACTCCATGGTATTCCATAGCACTCTACGGGGTTCCATGGAGTCTCCATGGAGTTCCGTGGCGGTGAGGTCCATGGAATATTCCGTAGAATTTGCCACGGAACTTGCTGTGGAATTTTCCATATGATATTCTTTGGAGTTCCATGGCTTGCCATGGAATGGAACTCCATGGAAATGCTGTGGAGATTTCCATCGGTACTTTCCATTGAAAAATTCCACGCTAATTTAACGGAAATTCCGTTCACTTCCAAAATATATATGTAAACGGGCAAAAAGACAATGAAGCGAAACACGACCGGGACACGAGCCAGGGACTTCTACGCCGAGAGGCGAAAATACATACCCGCAGCCGGCAGCCATGGATAGGAATGATGCTATGGATACGGCGTTGGGAGGTTCTGAGACGTTCCAAGGCTATTCGATGTTCTACCGTACGGCAACGTGGAGGTCGATTTCCGCCGTCCGTAAGTGGACAAAATTGGGAACAGTTCGGACAAAAGTGGGTACAGTTGGGACAAAAGTGGGTCAAAATATTGACACAAATGGGTACATGAAAATAGTAATTGACGCCGCTGGAAAATGCCCACCGTGATGTCGGACAGAAGTGGGATCTCTGGTGAGGTCTTGCGCGTCTCGGCGGTATTAGGGCCAAGGTGTACCTGAAAGTGGGAAAGATCGATGCCGGCGCCCTGTATGGTCCCTGGCTGTGTCGTCCAGGTGTCAGAATGGAGTTTTGAGTCGTGTGGAGGTCGCCTATCTATGTAGGGCGCGCGCTGGATTTTCGAGTACCCCCTTGTGTCCGAGA